ATCTTGAAACATATATAATATTTTATGTTATAAAAATATTATTATTTAAATAAATTAGACAATTCAAAATATTCCAATGTGTAAACTAATCGATAATAATTTGTACATGAATGTTATACTTACATATATTTATTTTTGATAATAAAAAATGAAATATATATTTTTTTTAACAACGTTGGACCGGTTCAACATGTCAAATTTTGGCAGGTTCAATAGGTATTTGACCAAGGTTTGATTGTTCCATTGGCCATCAGTTCATTCCAGCGAGTCTGAGCGATTCACAAACGGTCTGCGGTCCAACTTGTCGGACCAATCACTTCGGTCCGATTTTAAAAACAGTGTTCGTCCAAGTTATTTTACGGAAATTAGTATGAATCTCGTGCAATGCATTGACAAGAGATGTTTATTAATATTTATAAATTAAAATACTCATTAAATAGGATTTATAAATTAAAAATATGGAATCAATATGTAATAAAATTTACTATATTAATTTATTGAAAATATTATATAAAATTTAAAATGTGTAAAATTACATAAAACAAGTTTATATAAAATTACTATATAACCCGTACGGTGCACGTGACTGATAATATAATACATTATATTCATTTCAAAATAAGTATCATTTTAAAATTTTTATTCATAAATTTGATCTCGCTACAATATGATTCTATAAAATAATTATTTTGGTAAAATTTTATCATATATTTAAAAATCTTACTCACTTCTATGTGAATAATAAGTACATTTATAAAACTTATATTGTTTTATAAATTAAAATGACTTTATCTTTTTATAAGATATCCAAATCAAAAAAAATATATAAGTAAATGAATAAATTATTAAACTATATATAATTGACTATTTCATTTACCTTCAAGTCAAAATTGACCCGTAAGTTATGCATAATTACTTATTTGACTTTTAAATTTGGAACCCAACTTTAAACTACCTAGTAAATTCCCTTATATATTTCACACACACATACACGCGCGCACACACACACAGACATATACACATGTTACATTGCAATTTTCTAGATTTGTAGAAAGTTACCGTATCTTTCAAATTTACCAACTAATTATCTATAATTAACTAATTATCTATAATGAAAATTACAAAAATTAAATATTATTGAGCAATATTTGTTCTAATGTCTTTCAAATTTTTAATAAGGATACATACCAATTTGATGAATTATCATCAATTTCTCATGAAAAGTTAATGCGGTAATATTCTAAAATTTAAAAATCACATCACCTTGATTTTATAACAAATCAACCTAAATCGACTTTCATACTCATACCAAATAAAATTTATACTACTTAATTTGCTTTTAAAAATTCTAAATACACTTCTATCCATACCAAATAAATTTGATACCATTTAAATTTGTACATTTCATACCAAAATAATATCGCCCCACTTTATACCATAATTTTAGACATTTATTAATAACAACACATTTTTACCAAGTCAAATAAAATTGTCCACTTTATACCAAAATCGGATTTATTAATTTTGTCAACTCAATATCATAAATTTATTAATTAATCTATAAAGACGGGGATGTTTGATTTTTTTTAAAAAAAGATTACCAAGTTTAGGAATTTTAAAAATTTTAAGCGGGATTTTAGTTTTATTTGAAGTAAATACAAATTGATGTAGGGAAGCTACGAATGGAAAATAAAATAAGAGTTTCTCCTCTCAAATATGTATTTTCTTATTCAACTTCAACTACCAATAACAAAAAGAAGGAGTATATAAATAAGACTCCTAAAGCCCTAGACCTAACTTCCATTTTCTTTGAGTTTTTTTGCATGTTTTTTGTGTTTGTTTTCTTTTCTTTTTTTGACTGTAAATAATTATATCCATTGCATGAGTTTTGTGATTAGTTGTTCTTTTCGTGCACTTTTTGGGGTAAGCAATGAGGATATTGTTTTGTTTTAAGTGTGGGGACGATTTTGTTGCTTATGCATGCTTTTGTGGTGGACTGTCTAGTTTCTTTCATTTAGGTAGACTAATTAGTTGTTTTGTTGTATCTTAGTCCGATTGTGTTTTAGGACTATTAGTGTTTGTGTCAAACTCTCCTTTACGAAGCTTAATGTTTGGTCGAAATGCCTAGTCGTGAGTTGAAAATGTTAAATGGTTTCATTTTTTATTATCGTGCCTTATGTACTTGATGATTGAGAATCCGGTTTCCTAAATTAAATGAAGGTTTGTTGACATAGGCACCCACATTGAATTTACGAAATTGTTTTGTTCCTTGTTTGTTCACGATTGGTTATCTTGAAACATGTTTGCCCTGTGCTTGATTGTAGTAAACATCTTGTCTTATGATCTTGTGGTGCATCATGTAGATTTTGATGGTCATGTAATTAGAGTCTTGACGTATCCTTATGTTGTCACTCCCTTTGAAAAAAAAAATAAAATAAAATGTGAGTCCGTGAGAAAGTAAGGATTAGGCTCTGCTTGTCCCGATTCACATTGTGGAATAAGATAATGAGATCGGGAAATGGGTCTAGGAGACTCGAGGAAACCTCTCGAGGGTACACCTAGATAATACTTTTCCAGAAACCTCGTTTGAAAAATACTTTTCCAGAAACCTTGTTTGGAAAAAGTGTCTCACGGAACAAAATGAAGATAATGAGGTTGTGAGAGTTAAAGGATTAGACTCCGCTTGACCTTGTTCATGTCCTTCTAGATGGATCGGGGCAATGAGTACAGAAAACCAGCCTAGGAAACTCGAGGACAAATCCATAGGTTAAACTTAGGTAATAATCATCCTATCGACTCCCATTTGAAAAACTGACTCATGTAAAAAAAATGAAGGGGGGGAATTAAAAAAAAAAAGGAGGAGTTGACATTGTTGGTCTTGTGCTTATCATCCCTTGTATTTTGTTAGACCTTGCATTGCCTCGGATGTTATTTGAGGTCGTGAGTACATGTTTTTTGCACGTGTATTGGGTAAAAGGTGAGTTTGAATCGAGTAAAAGGTGAGTTTGAATCGAGTAAATCATGCGTAGAATGAATTGGAATAAGTTTTTGTATTGTATGAATTCATTTTGTTGGGAATGTGTCTTCGAATTTTAGTTTAATTATAAGGATAACTGGGACAACAAGAGTGTTGCATGAAGCATGATCATTATTTATGGACCTTTTGATTTTTCTTCTCGAACAACGTGTTATTTTGTTTGCTTGAAGACAAACAAAGAGCTAAGTGTGGGGGAGCTGTTTTGTATGATTTTGTGCCCATTTTCATGCGTTTTATGCTTTTAGTTAAGTCGTTCTTAGGTTGATTTTCTTGTTTGACAGTCCATTCTAGTTGGTTTCGTGTGGTTTTAATTCATTTTTTGTTTTTGTGTTTCGGTGCATTTCCCGTGTCTTTTAGTATTTTATAGGTCTTTTGTTCGAATATTCAAAGTGGTGGAGTCGAGCTGAGTCCCAACCGCACGAGTCAAACCAAGAACTTATCATCTCCATCCATTACTGAGCATTTGAGCACAAGTTTCCCATTAATTCTGAGGTAGTGAAAAGCTCCCGGGGAGTTCCACCGTTGCCCGACAAAGTTCAAGTGTTTGCCGCGCATCACGCGTCAGAGCAGACCCGCTTCACTTGCCTGCGCGAGCACCCTGCGCACTCCCCTGAAGTTGCGCAGCCACCCGCTCAAAATGGCCAAGTGGTGAGTTGAGATTGTTTATTAGTTTCATTGTTAATTTTTGTGCCTTATATGCTTGTTGAATTGGATGGTTTCCTAGTATTAAATGAAGATATGTTGACATTGGAACCAGCATTTGAATTCATGGTGCCTGAG